ATAAATCTGTCCGTAACATTTAGATAATTTTTTTTTGTGAATAACATGATATTTTGGTCGTTGACCAAAAAATACGTATACCGTGTTCGAATGGAAATGGGATGAGGACAAAAACAAAATTGAAAATAGAAGAGAATGTGAGGTTCATGATTCTTGCGTGCTCCCTCAGTCGAAAAATAAAATAAAATAAATTTCTGATGTTGGCAATTATTATACGCAACAATGAACTAATTTCCAGTTTTCACATTTAAACGAATAAATGGAAGACAATATGAAATGCAAAAGGATGGCATTTGTCAAACGCAAATTCCAATTCCCAATTTGGCAGTTCGCGACATGATAACTACCTTAAGATCAAAACACGAAAAATAAAATAAAATAAATTTCTGATGTTGGCAATTATTATACGCAACAATGAACTAATTTTCCCGTTTTCACATTTAAACGAATAAATGGAAGACAAAATGAAATGCAAAAGGATGGCATTTGTCAAAGCAAACTCCAATTCCCAATTTGGCAGTTCGCGACATGGTAACATTTTTAATTACCTTAAGATCAAAACATAAATATGATTTTTTAGGTAATTATCTTAACTTTTTAATTATTTATATAAAATTAAATAATTGAGATTATTCTATCTCTCTATAATAAAATAATACTTTAATTGTTTACCAAATTTCATTTAACATGTCATATATATATATGGAAAAATGTTTCTGCAGCAGATAAGTTATCTGCATTTATTTCCAAAACGATGTCGTTTTGATATTGAAATTTTAAAAAATTATAAATATAAAGACAATTATAACCCTGAAATAAATTAAAATTACAAAAACACAATGATTTTCACCCCGACGTCGTATAGGGTAACTGCAGATAACTTATCTGCAGTAACTGCAGAAAAAGAGAACTCATATATATATATATATAGGATAAGTTATATTTACAACCCAAATAGTTTACAAACTCTTATAACCATTTCTTAACCGTTGATTTTCGCCAATCAACTGTTGTCATTTATTGTGAATTAATAATTAATTAATAAATTTGATTTGCAAAAATCTTAACCGTTGATTGATAGAAATCAACGGTTAAGATATGGTTGTAAGAAGTTGTAAACGAAAATAGGTTGTAAATATAACATTCCCCTATATATATATATACATAGTAAAATCATTTCTGTAGCCGCTTTACATACATCAGCGACATGTGTATGATTATGATTCTTCACATTTAATGCTTTCATCTTTTGTATGGTTATGATTCCCTTCATTTAATGCTTTCAAGTATATATATGGCAAATATTTAATTGTTGCACGTACAACAGTTGCAGAAATGTAAACGCATATATATATATATATAGGAAAAATATTTTCTTATGTTGCATGAGAATTCAATTCTCATGTTGTGACCTTTCAATTTGCGTGCAAAACTTTTCTTTTCTTTTTCTCTTTTTAATAAATATGAGGCTCACCACTAGTTGAGTCACAACAATTCAATTCTCATGCAACATAAAAAAAAATATATATATATATATATATATATATATATATATATATATATATATAGGATTCGTTTTTTCTGCAGTTGCTGCAGATAAGTTATCTGCAGTAAGCCAATACGACGTCGTTTTGGGACGGAAATCATGGTGTTTTTGTAATTTTAATTTATTTTAGAGTTATAATAATCTTTATATTTATAATTTTTTAAGATTTTAATACCAAAACGACGTCGTTTTAGAAATAAATGCAGATAACTTCTCTGCCTTAACTGCGGAAACATTTTTTCCATATATATATATAATGGATCCAGGACAGTTAACATAATAAGAGTAAAACTTTTATTCTAATATATTATTATTGATTTTATTTAAGTGTTTAATATTTTTCATATTGTAAAAGATAATTTTATCTTCTAAATACACATAAAAGTGTGTGGGCCATGTAAGAAGAAGAGAAAAAAAACATAAACCTACACATATTATGTCAGTTTTTTTACAAAAAAAAAAACAAAAAATCAGCTCAATTGATAGAATAAAACAAGGATAGTAATATGCAACTATAAAAACAAACTAGAATTAATAAATTTTTGAAGTTTGAACATATTTAAAAGGGAAAATCACTAAACCATGTCCACGTCCTAAAATACTTTTCCTTCTACTTTATAGACATTTTTTTTTTCTCAATTACTTCATTTTCGTTTCTATTAAAATAAAAAAAAATTCTAGTATAATATTCGAACCAAATTCGTGTGAAAGAATCGCCCAATACGGGTTCAATAATATTCGAACCAAATTAAATCGGTTTATACTAAAAATTAATAATAAGCTTTACCAAAAAGATTTTAACAACGTTTGTAAACATTTTAAGAATCTATTTTACATAAAGGAAGAAATAAGGTCATAAGGATGTTACAGAGCTTCCAACATATATAAATTTTATATTGACCCTTTTCAAAGGCTGTATCATATCTCCCATTTTAGTATAAAATACACCGCAAGTATAGACTTGGGTTTTTTGCTTTTTGTCAACAAGTCGGTCTTTTAGCTTTAAGACTCAGTATATTAACCTTAATTTGTGGTTTCAGTTTACTATTCCTTGACTTAACCTGTTTGTTTGGACTTTAAAAAAAAGTAATTTTTATTTCTTTTTTATTTTAGAAGTATTTTTTACAAAAATTAAAGTTATTTATATTTTATAAAAATATTTAATTTTTGAAAAAAAAATTGACTTTTGACTTCTGTTTTTTTTTAGAAGTTAAAATTTTTAACTTCTAAAAAAAGTAGTGTTTAGCTTTCTTCTTTTTTACTTATGCTTTTTGTAAAAGCAGAAATCCAAATGAATTTAAAGTAGGAAATACTTTTTTCTTGAAAAAAAGTAATTTTTGAAGAAAAAAAAGTCCATTCAAATGAGTAATTGCTCTTCTCTGAGAAGATGAAGATTTAACTTGTACGTTTGCACGAGCATTTATAAACAATTTCAAATTATATTAATTTATATAATTGATTTTTTTTTTAATTTGTCCATTTGTTGATTATTCGATTAATTCAACTAAGTAAGGTCTACATGGTGTAGGACTTTTCCTACTAATTTTTAACAAAATTGCATATTCGGACTCAAATTCAAGATCACTAATTAAAATAAAATAAATTTGTACCAAATAATTCGTAGTAGATAAAATTGATTTTAATTAAAAATGAATTTGAAATTAAACAATTTATATTAAGGCTTTAATGTTTCTAAAGTGAATGTAGATAAGTTATTTACATTCATTCCCAAAATGACGTCGTTTTGGGTAAAAAAATTAAAAAATTATAATGAAAAGGACTATTATAACCCTGAAATAAATTATAATTATATATATTATAATTACATCGTTTTGAGCTCAATGTAGATAAGTTATCTACATTTACTTTAGAAAAAGCGAAACCTTTATTTAAATATATTTATCTTGAACCTTGAATTTGTCAACGGAAAATCAAGTCAGTCTTGGTTTAGACCAAAAGCAAGTTTGGGATAAGAATTAAGTTTGAAACGTGGTTTATGTAACCAAACAATATACTTTCTTCGTCAATATCCCGTTTGATATCCAAAATGCATGTTTTGGGTGGTTTAAATTTAAACTTCCTTCCAAACACACCATTATTCGATAGATGAATTAAGGGGCGTTTGGTTAAGGAGAAATTTTTTGAATACTAGGTAAATGTAATTGATAGGGAAATGGTAAGAAAGTGAGATAAAGTGAGATAGATAGAAAAATGTAAAAAAAAGTTGTTTGATGAGAAAAAAATTTATTCGGAAAATTAGGTAACTCTATGTTTGGGTGTAAGTAATATATAGATGGGAAAATGTGTGCGAGTTTACAAAATTAACCTTCACTTTACAAAGACAAGCTTCTTTCTTCAAAAAAACCAAGTGGCGGGGGGGGGGGGGGGGGGCTGCTCACCACACAACGAGGGTAATTTGGGGAGCTTCAATTTTGCACTTTTCAATTTAGATGGCTATCACCAAAAACCCATGTCCAAGTTGGTTTTTTGAATAGTGCAAATGCCCATCTTTCATAGACCAAAAGGAGACATGCCATGCAAATGGGATATATGGGCAACTTTGCAAACCTGTGTACCAAACGAAGACAAGCTGGATTGCCAAGTTCATTTTACTAGCAAAATTATAAAATCTCTTGAACCAAACAGGGCCTAAGAGTAAATTTATTGAGTCTCTAACAAAAAAACACGATTCCCATTTTTGTTTCTTAAAAAAAAAAATAGACTCGAGATCTCTAAAACATTTAAAGTGGATCTATTTAATTGAAATCATTGTCCATTATAAATTTAAAAAGATCCATATTATTCTCTCAAAAAGACTAAGATAAATTCATTTTGAATTTCATAAAAATTACAAGACTAATTTTTTTTTTATAAAACACTAAAATGGAAGTCATTACTCCATGGAAAAGTTAGTGTCAACCCTGAATTGTCCTCCAATATCGAGACGTATACCAAACTGATTCTAGGCGTAAATCTTCCAACCACAAAAGACTCTTGAAGAAGTGCATTTGCGTGAGCTTTTTCTTCAACGTGTTAGAAAAATAACTCTTGACTAAATCAGTTGGACCATATCTTGAGCTCCCTAATCCAAGAGCATTATTAAATAAGAAAAACATTTCTTGTTGACAATTTATTATACGCAACAACGAACTCATTTTTCGGCTTTGACATCGAAGTGCATGCTAAGGTAGAAATTCAGATTGAGATAATGAAAAAAAAAAAAAAAAAAGAGTTTGGCTTCTCAAGATTTTCTCTATTCTGAATATAAATGTAATTTGTTCTAGATAGGCTATAGCAAGACAAATTTACTTAAATGTCACGTCAAAAAACAATTTTACCAAACTGTCACGAGGGCAAGTTCGTCCAGAGCAGTAGCGAACTTGGTATGCTGATGTGTCAACTTCCTGGTGGTGTCAGAGTTCGCTTCTGACACAGGCGACCTCAATTGAAATTAATGCCTCACCTGCCAGGCAACGTGGCTTGCATGCAGCAGAGGTCGCTTGTGTCAGAAGCGAACTCTGACACCACTAGGAAGTTGACACATCAACATATCAAATTCGCTACTGCTCTGGACGAACTTGCCCTCGTGTCAGTTTGGTAAAATTGTTTTTTGACGTGACATTTAGATAAATTTGTCTTGGAACAGTCAGTTCATTGGGCCTGCTGATAAAATTCATATAAAGGGTCATATTTAAAATAAAATGAAAATTTTAAATCCTAGAAATTTTACTCCGGTGCACATCATACCGGATGAAGAGATAAATTTGTGTGGACCCAAGAATGTGAAGTGAGCTTTCAAGAGTTAAAAAGGAAGTTGACTACAGCTCCGGTATTAATATTGCCGGATCCTACAAGTAAGTTTGTGGTGTATTGTGATGCTTCTAAGTTTGGGTTAGGCTGTGTGTTAATGCAGTTCCGTCAGGTGGTCGCTTATGCTTCTCGGCAGTTGAAACCGCATGAGGAGAATTATCCGACACATGATCTTGAGTTGGCAGCCGTAGTGTTCGCATTGAAAATTTGGCGACACTTTCTATGCGGGGCCGATTTTATTGTCTACAGTGACCACAAAAGTCTAAAGTATCTGTTTGATCAGAAGGAGCTAAACATGAGGCAACGCCGATGGGTGGAATTTCTGAAGGATTATGATTTTGAATTGCAATATCACCCTGGTAAAGCCAATGTAGTAGCTGATGCTTTAAGCAGAAAGACGCTTGGTATGGCCAATTTGATGATTTCCGAGTATAACTTGATTGAGAAATTCAGGGATCTCCACATTCCTGTGAATACAGAAGATAGTCCACATTTATTGACTACTACGGTAGTCCTGAATTCATTAGTTGAGCGGATTAAAGAGGCTCAATTGCTTGATGAAGAGATTCAGTCTATGAAAGAGCAGGACTTTGTGTCCACTGATAGGTTCGGTCTTAAGTTTTACAAGGATCGGATCATTGTTCCAAAAGGTCAGATGGTAGATGAGGTATTAACTGAGGGTCACATGGGTAAGTACACTATCCATCCTGGTGCTACCAAGATGTACCAAGACTTGAAACGGAATTTCTGGTGGTCGGGAATGAAGAAAGACATTGCTCTATTTGTGAGTAAGTGTTTGACATGTCAGAAAGTTAAGATTGAGCATCAGAGACCTTCTGGATTACTGCAGCCCTTGGATATTCCGGAATGGAAATGGGTCAGTATTTCTATGGATTTTGTAGTAGCATTACCGAGAACTCAGGCTGGTTTTGATTCCATCTGGGTAGTTGTTGACAGATTGACAAAGTCTGCACATTTCATACCAGTTAAAACGAGTTTCTCCACAGAGCAGTTGGCTCGGATATATGTAAGAGAGATTGTGAAACTTCATGGTGTTCCTGAAAGTATCATTAGTGATCGGGACCCTAAATTTACTTCTAGACTCTGGGATGCAGTGCAACAGGCCTTCGGTACACAGTTGAGGCTGAGCACGGCTTATCATCCCCAGACTGATGGTCAGACTGAGAGGACTATTCAGACCCTGGAGGACATGTTGAGGGCTTGTGCCTTAGAGCAGGGAAATGCATGGGATAAATATCTTCCTCTAGTGGAATTTTCCTACAATAATAGTTATCATGCCAGTTTGGGCATGGCTCCGTATGAAGCTTTGTATGGCCGTAGGTGCAGGGCGCCTACTTGTTGGTCAGAAATTGGAGAGAGGCAGTTATTTGGGCCTGATATGGTCCAAGAGACTACCGATCAAATTATGATGATTAAGGATCGATTGAAGAAAGCACAGAGTCGCCAAAAGAGTTATTATGATGCAAAGCATAGACCCCTTGAATTTTCAGAAGGGGATCATGTATTTATCCGTTTGTCTCCGACTACGGGTGTTGGGCGTGCTCTAGGAGTGAGGAAGTTGAGTCCTAGGTTCATTGGGCCCTACCAGATTATGAAAAGGGTCGGACCTGTGGCTTATCAGCTTGCCTTACCTCCACATCTGTCAAATTTGCATAGTGTTTTTCACATCACTCAACTTCGAAAATACGTGCCGGATGAATCCCACATTGTACAGCCGGACAATATCGAAGTAAGAAAAGACTTGAAGTTTGTTGTGGGACCGTTTAAGGTTCTAGCACGTGATGAAAAAGTGTTGAGAAACAGGACTATTCCCATGATCAAGGTACAATGGGAAGGATTGACTCCTGAGGACGCCACTTGGGAGCGGGAGAATGAAATTCTCCAGCGATATCCTGAGTTTGATGTCAGGTATATGTATATTTGATATTTGATTTTGTGGGCAAAATCCTTAAAAGGTGGGGTGAATATAATGACCCTAACTGATAAATCTTAGTTAGAGATTTAATTTAAGGATTTAAATGCCATAATTAGATTCAGTGAGCGATTTCGAGTATTTTGACTGTAATCATGACTATGTTATGAACAGTGCGTTCTGCCGGAGAATTTACAATTTTGTGAATTAACCGGTAGAGCTTAAAATGAGCAAAATAATTTTAGGAACATAATTTGAAAATTCTGATGACAAATATGAGTTCAGAACGAAAAATTGTATAGTCTGGCACTTTCCGTGAAAATCTCGTGAATAGTGTTTCTACCGGGTATTTTGTACTGCTGTTTAAGCAACCGGTAGAGTCCAGAAATAAATAATTGATGAAATAAGAATAAGAAAGTCCAATATATGCCAAGCAAGTCAATATAGGCCCAAGAAAATGATAAGTGTATAAGTGTTAAGTTTTAAAAGTAAATAAAGTACAATTAGTGATTCACAGTGCATTTCGTCAAAAACGGTGCAGAAACCATACTGTGAATTATGAATATTGTTTTGTAACAGATAAAAAATTAATGTAAATGATTTTAGAAAAATAAAAATATGTTCGTAGTTTTAAGTTAGTTCCGGGTCAATTTAAGTTAAAATACGCGATAGAAAAACATCTGTTAAAAAAGGCCACATGTGCTCACCTTTTTAAGTCACTTAAGCCTCATTTCCAAATAAAATTCTCTCTCCTCTCCTCACTCCAAAACCGAGCTGCACCAGGAAAAAGGGGGGGTTAGGGTTTGTTTTTGATTTTGTTGATTCTCTTTGAATCTTCCACCAAATCTAATGACCCACCACATGAAATCGATTAGGAACTACTCAACGAATCCATTGCACCTATCCATTTGAGCTATAGTTGAGTGTGTGAAGAGTTATTCCTCCTCTCATTTTCGAGTTACTATTCATTGGAGGAGAAAAAGTGAGTTTTGATGAAGTTTGGCTTGGAGATTGCTCTCTAGGCTTTGTACAAGTGTTTAGAGGTAAGAAACCTCTACTTCCATGATATTATTTTGATGAATTAAGTCATGAAATCTATGAGCATGTGTGGGTAGGGAATAATTGATTTTAGAAATTGAAATTGATAATGGTTTGTTGTTGTTTAGGAAGTTATATGTTAAAGTAAGCATCAACATGTAATTAAAAAAATTGAAAAGCCCATGGTACTTCCCTCCCTAGGTTTCGGCCATGATGAGTCACATAGGGTGCATGGTGCAAAATTTTATTTGATATATTTAGAGTGTCTAATGTGTTGGAGTGAGTAGGAATTTGGTAAATTAGTGTGAAGGCCAAAGGGGGAAAAATCCTTTGTGTCTTGACTCCCTATGTTTCGGCTATGGAGAGTGGTGAGGGACTTGATGTCCCAACATTAAGTTGGAACAATATGGAAACATACATTTGTATGTGTAAGTTACATGTAATTAAAAAGAAAAGAGCCCTTGCCTATTCCTTATAGAGTTCGACCTATAGGGTATTTAGGGATATATTTTGTACATTTTATTTTAAATAAAATGTGTTGTAATAAATTGTATAAAAGTGATGAGTTTTGAAGAAAAGTAGCATGATTTATGTTGAAAATTCCTAAGGGAATAGTTGATTAAATTAAAGAACACCAACGGTTATAAAGGGGTCTAGACTTGTGTATTGGCATAGGATTGGCAAAAATGCAAAGAAAGGAAAATAAGCGATAAAATGTATGCTTATGAAATAATTATGGTATTGCATCATTTTATTGATGCATTGTAAATTTTCTCTAGGTGTGCCTAGGGATTGAGAAGGATCGGAAATCTCTTGAAGTGATAAAAGTAACTTGTTCCACAAGTAAGCGTATTGGTAAAGCTTCAAGAGGTAAGCTCTATGTTTAAGGAGTCTTTTCCTGCTTGAGTGCTCCACCATGGTTAGTGAACTATGGTTGGACTGTATGACTGTGATTTAGATGCTTTGTATAGATGCATTCATATAGAGTTATTTGATAACATGATATGTTTTGCTCTGATATGACTTCTGTAATATGATTTCTGTAACAATCTCTGGCCATTGATTGTATAGTACCCGGACGTCCGCTTTGGGGTCCTCCCTCGGGACTGATGGTGTACTCCTCTGATATGTCTGGTTCCGCTTTGGGGTCCTCCCTCGGGAACACGTGCGTTGATTTCCGCTTGGGGTCCTCCCTTGGGAATGACGACGCACATCTCTGATATGATATGGATATATGCTCTGTTCTGTTATGATATCTGTTATATGTTGTATTTGTATACTCTGTATCTGAATTTCATGCAGGAGTGAGCCAGGGGTATGGAGAATTCTCTATAAACCTGGAGCTTATTGAGATTTGTAATCTCACCCCTCTTTGGGGACACATTTTCAGGGGCCCAGATTTCCGGTGAGTCCTCACTAGGCAGGGACACGACACGTGGCTGAGGCAGTTGACAGACCGGATTTTGAGTGGCTGTAGGCTACTACCTTTTTGGAGTGTTTGATGTATTCTAGTATTTTCGCATTTGATGGATCATGATATTGATCCTTTATTTTGTATATGGCCTGTATATGTTTTGTACATGTCTATCAGTTTGATGCATGTACATTTGAGTATTCAGGAACGTTATATGATGATGTAGTATTCAGATAGGTTTATGTTTTGATGGCATGCTGTTAGATTTAGTGGCACGGAGCCATGTTATGCATGCGCCCATGTATGGGTATTTGATTATATTTGGATATCTGGTATTTCTGAATTGATATGTGGTATAAACTGTTTATCAGGAAATGCTTCTGAGTGGGATTGGAAAATCCCCAGTTGTCCGATTTATAGAGGAAACTCTGCCCGATTTTCGTTTACGCCGAGTAAGAATTAAGTTAGAAAAAGAAAAAGTTAGCTCATATTTTTGTAAGTTAAGTCTTCCGCTGTTTCTGTTTGTATCATATGTATGTTAATTGAACCGGCTCGAGACGGGGATGTTACATTTATGGTATCAGAGCAGTTTCTCTAGAAGAGCCTGTGAAATATTGCATGAACTGTTCGGGTTGTTATATTCTTGAGTTTTTCTTGGAATACTATGATATGCATGTCTGATCACCGAGTGTGAGCGTAGCTAACTCATTCCTTTGTGTGAAATATGCAGAATTATGGTTCGCCCAAGAAGGACTTCTGATCCTCCTATTGACCCGACCGATCCAATATTAGCAGATTTGGCTAGACCCCGACTAAACCAGCGGGGAAATACTTCACAGCCAGATCCAATGATAATGGCCTTAACTGAGATGCAACAAAATATGGCTGCAGCTAGGCAGCGAGAGCTAGAAGTGATGATGAAAGCAAATCAAGATTTGTTAGAGGCTAATAGGTTGGCCAATCAAGAAATGATGGCAGCAAGCAGAATGGCGAATATTGAAATGATGAGATTACTCTTGGTTGAGGTGAGGGCGGGTGGGCAAGGTCCACAGCCACAACCTTTGCAACAGCCACAGCCTGAGCCACAACCACAACAGCCTGTTCCTCCTCCTCATAATCCCATTGTTGTGGAGGGTGAAGGAAATAATGATGTGAATGAAGAATCTAGTCACAGGGGTGGTGTGGCACAGCCAGCCACTAATAGAGAGCAAAGAGAAAGAATGCTAAATGCCTTCCGAAAACATGCACCACCAAATTATAAAGGAGGCATTGATCCTATTGCTGCAATTCAGTGGTTAGAAGAATTGGATCGCATTTTTACTGTCATGGAATGTGATGATCAGCAGAAATTGTTGTATGCTTCTTATATGTTGCAGAATGATGCAGCTGATTGGTGGAGAAATACCCGTCTGCCCTTGGAATGTCAGGGTTATGCTATTACCTGGCCTTTATTTGAAAGGCAATTCTTGCTGAAATACTTTCCGGCTGAAGCCCGGATAAGGAAGAAGGGTGAATTTGAAGAACTAAAGCAGGGTCAGATGTCTATTGATGAATACTTGAATAAGTTCAATAAGCTGGCCAAATACTCTCATTTCCAGAGAGCTCCACCTACAGAAGATGACTTGATTTTTAAATTTCATAGAGGATTACATGATAACATCTCTGAAAAACTTGCAGGTGACTCATTTGATACTTTTGCTGCACTTGTTAAAAAGTGTAAAAATATTCAAGAATATTACAGAAGGAAGCATAAGGACCAATCTGCTCCTAATTCTGGTCCTAAAAACACCTCTGGGAATTCTAAAGGAAAAGGGTTGCAGGTTAGACAGTCTGATGGTAAGTTCAAAAAGGCGGGAAATTCTAAGCCTGGAAATATTAAGCCTGCTTCTCTATGTGCTACATGTGGTAAAGTTCATGCAGGGGTTTGCAGAAAAGAGCAAAGACTGTGTTACAAATGTGGCCAACCTGGGCATTTTATTAGGGACTGCCCCTTTAATGGGGGACAGGTTTCTACTATTCAGGCCACTCCGGCTCCTATTTTGGTTGAGGAACCATCTCTACCTCTCCCACCTCCAGTTGCCCGAGTATATGCAGTGACTCAGCAAGAGGCTGAGAGGTCAGCTAGTTTGGTGCGAGGTATGATTTCTATTCGTGATGAAATGCTTAGTGTTTTGTTTGATTCTGGTGCCACGCATTCTTTTATTGCTGATTATGTAGCTGAAGCATTTGGTCTGCATGTGAAAAAAATGAAAACTCCTATGCGTATTGTTACGGCTGTGGGAAGAGTTTTTAATGAAGACTATGTTTGTGAAAATGTGAAATTCAAGTATGAAGGCAGGGAATATTCTGCCGACTTTATTGTCTTGCACCTTGCTTCTGTGAATTTAATTCTGGGGATGGATTGGTTGTCCAAGTACTGTGTGAAGATTGACTGCTGCAGTAAAACCATTTATGTCTCATCTCATGATGAAGAAATGGAGTCTCCTTATTTGTTTGTACTTCAGGTGGTAAAGGCCTTGAAGGAAGGAGATTCCGGGTATGTTTTATTGGGAGGTCTGGTTGGCGTCAACAAGGAGCCACAAGTTAAACTCCCTTGGTAATCTCCTAAAGTTAAACCAGATTGATTTGTCAAGAAATGAACTTGTGGGAAGAATACCCACAAGTTTTGGCAATTTTCAAAACCTGCTCTACATGGATTTATCCAGCAACAAACTCAATGGAAGCATACCTATGGAAATCCTCAATCTCCCTACTTTGAGCAATGTTCTAAACTTGTCTATGAACTTCTTGAGTGGACCAATACCTCAAGTTGGGAAATTGCCTAGCGTTGCCTCCGTTGACTTTTCTAATAACCAATTGTATGATGGCATCCCCAGCTCATTCAGCAATTGTCTGAGCTTGGAAAAATTGATTTTGTCCCGGAATCTTCTTTCAGGTCCCATTCCAAAAACTCTTGGAGATGTGAGAGGCTTGGAAACTTTGGACCTCTCTTCCAACCAACTCTCAGGATCCATTCCTATTGAGCTTGAAAATCTACGTGCCCTTAAGCTTTTAAACCTCTCTTACAATGATCTAGAAGGAGCTATTCCTAGTGGTGGAATTTTCCAAAATCTCACTGCTGTCCATGTAGAAGGCAATAGAAAACTCTGCTCGCATTCCTTATGTGTGCCTCATGGCCATGGAAGAAGAAATGTCCGACTTTACATCATCATAGCCATTGTGGTAGCGTTGATACTATGTCTCACAATTGGCTTGCTACTATACATAAAGAATGGAAAAGGGAAGGTAACAGCAGCACCAGCTTCTGAACTGCTAAAGCCTCATGCTCTAATGGTCTCTTATGACGAGCTTCGTCTTGCAACTGAGGCGTTCAACCAAGAAAATTTAATAGGAATTGGGAGCTTTGGTACAGTATATAGAGGCCATTTAAGTCATGGAAATACTGTTGCAGTGAAAGTGCTTGACACTCTAAGAACTGGTTCTTTAAAGAGTTTCTTTGCAGAGTGCGAGGCTATGAAGAACTCAAGGCATAGAAATCTTGTTAAGTTGATCACATCATGCTCCAGTGTTGACTTTAAAAACAATGAATTTTTGGCTCTGGTCTATGAGTACTTGTGTAATGGGAGCTTGGAAGATTGGATTACGGGAAGGAGAAAGCATGCAAATGGAAATGGGTTGAACCTTATGGAGAGACTGAATATAGCTATTGATGCTGCTTGTGCATTGGATTACCTGCACAATGATAGTGAAATTCCTATTGTGCATTGTGATTTGAAGCCCAGCAACATTCTCCTGGATGAAGATATGACTGCAAAGGTTGGAGACTTTGGATTGGCTAGGTTGCTGATTCAAAGATCAACTCATCAAGTTTCCATCAGCTCCACTCATGCCCTTAGAGGTTCAATTGGTTACATACCTCCAGGTTAGTAGCCTCATAGCTTCCTCTTCAATTGAATAATAGTATACAACTTGCCAAGTTAAATCTCTCTTCAAAATTTTTTAACTCATTCAAGTATATATGGCCATAAAAGAAAACAACTATATATCTTTATGAGATCAACTCTTATGATTTAAGTATAAATCCTCAATAAAAATATCTAAGTTTCTCTATTCCCTCTTTATGAAACTTTTAATACACACTCTGAAACATGAAATAATTACTATTGTTACTTCTCTCATGCTTTTTTTAACAAATAAAGTATTTGTAATAATGCAGAGTATGGATGGGGAGAGAAACCATCTGCAGCTGGAGATGTATATAGTTTTGGGATAGTGTTACTAGAACTCTTCTCTGGGAGAAGCCCAACTGATGAATGCTTCACAGGAGGACAAAGCATAACAAGATGGGTGCAAACAGCATTCAAAGATAAGACTGTGCAAGTCATTGACCCTCAGCTGCTATCCCTCATTTTTCATGATGACCATGCCAATAGTTCCAATCTACAACTCTCTTGTATGGAAGCAATTGTAGGAGTTGGCCTTTCATGCACTGCAGACAATCCAAATGAACGCATTGGCATTAGAGATGCTCTTCGCCAACTAATAGCTGCTAGAGACTCTCTTTTGAAACTCTGAATTATTAAGAAGAGTCCTACTAATCCTACCAAGCGTAACTTTCAACTTTCAATAAAATGAATTGTATCCAGAGTGAAGGTTGGCACCGTATGATCTCTGCTGCTATGCTTAGTTGAAATATGACCAAAGAATATATAATATATAATACTACTGTTACTGTAGATCAAAGTGATACTCTTGTAGACCACAAACTTTGAATAGTGTATTAATAGATTATCAGCCATGTCATCTGTGGATCTGTGATAAAACTCATGTATTGCCATAAAGAAGGATGGTGGACTTGTGGCACACACTTAGTGCAAACAAGATGATTATTAATGCTGCTTAGTAAATCAAGCAATAAATATAGTTCATTACGTAGATTATTTTAATTTGTTATGTATAAGTGGTTAACAATTATAACATTATATATTATTAATAAGTTAAAATAAGTTGACATTTTGAGTTTTTCAAAACTTATCTTTGGAAAACTTTGTAAATAAAATATTTTAATCTAAAAATAATAAATAATGACACTGCATTAAAATATAGAAAGCACTTTAAAGAATAAAATTCAAGTGATAATAAAATCCTAATATTCATACGTTCTTTTGGATAGATTTATGATAAGTACTTATTTGATGTCTTTTATGGGGGAATTGATATAGAATGGCTTATGCTGAATTTGTGGACTCAATAAAAATAGACATGGACTAAACATCAAAGTCTAGCAAAGTATAACATTAATGTTATTACAGCCCCAATATATCAAAAGGATTTGATACAAACACTGTAACAGCTTGATTTCAAAGAGATTGAAATGTAATTAATTAAAAGTATAAATGCACAACAACAAAAAAATCAACATTTAATTGCAATGTTATGAAAAACAAGCTAAAGAAAAAATAATTAAGATAGTCAATCATTCATGCTAAATTAACTAGAAATCATGTGCCAAACTGGAGTTTCTAGTGACTCAATAATGAACTTGGGGCCATCTAATCTTCCCAAACAAGTTATGCAACTATAATGCCCTTTATTTGCAATTAAACTGGTAACGCATCAGCAGTTTATACTATTGGAAAGATATTAAATTTAATTGAAGCTTCAAGAAGGACCTCTTATTTGAATAAGTTCCCCCAAATAAATTTCCAAAGTCAAATGTCAAAGAATGGAATAGTAGCAGTATTGGCTCATCATAGCTGCAAGGTTAGAGATGGCCCTCAGAATTAAAAGATTACATGATACAATCATGTAGGGAAAAAATTCTATATAAAATGTAAAACCAAAACAGTTTTCATACTTAACACTTTGGAAACATTCAGGTTACTTGCTTCATAGTTTATTACAAAACAATTCAACCAGTTACTGAAGGATTCACTAAATATAAGTAAATTGCTTTTTTCTAGTTCAAAGTAAAAAGAAAAAAATGCTACCTCTTAATATATTCAAACTTCAAATGCATGCAATGCTCTTGAAAACAAACTATGTAATTCAGTACAAAAAGAGGGTAATCAAAAGATTAGGCGATCCGAATGCCAGATGTAGGTTATTCCAAAAGCTAAACAAAGGCAGTACTAGCCATCACCATCTAGGTGAAAAATTCCAATCTTTCCAAACATCAAGAAAGAAAGAAAGAAAGAAATTATAAAAAATAAATCTAACTCAAAAATTTAAACTGTCAAGTAAAGAATTTTATATTACACAAAAGTCCATTCAACTTAGAGGATGGAAAATACACTATGCAGCTATACTAATTTGAAGTGTTCCGTTCAATGCAGATGGATAAACCCATTTCCATTGACTTGAACAAACAAATTTATGACAGAATAATTAACTACTTGACCAAGAAATATATGGGTTTTTTGACCTTTTATTTACCAAAAAAAGAAAATTGACCTTTTCACTTTCAAGCAACTCAAGATTAAAAGTGAAATGATATGATGGACATGAGAAATTTTTTTTTCTTGATAAAAAATGATTGTATGTGAAAAACAAAGGCCTACAAAAGATTTAAATTGCATTACTGAGATATGATATTAGGCCTTTTTTTCCATGCCTATTTTTTTCCAACATTATTGTATCACAATTTCAACTCACTTTTATTCTTTATCCCTTTTATTGAGATCATAATATAAGAGGAGTAGGTAAAATAGATACGAAAAAAGATAGGTATAAAATAACTCAAATTTGTAAGATTAAATATTTAATTGAAAACAATTTGAGCTTAAGTGAAAGAAAATAAACCTCACAAGAATTTTGTGAAATTTTGAAGTACATTTTTTTCTAGTTTTCTTGAGTTCCTAGAAGTTTTCAAAACTCAAAGAAGGATCAAATTGGTCCAATTAACAATTTATAGGCATTTTTGACAAGTAATAAAATATTTTTAAGATACAGGATATGAGAATTAGAAGTCTTATACTTAATCTTGAGCATTGATCTATTTGTATCCAATGACTCACATTACTAAAAAATTAGAGCTGTTAAATATAAGTGGGATCAATAATCAAGATTGAGAGTGTAACTTACACTACTGTAAAATGATCCTAATCCTATTTTTAAATAGATGAATTGAAATCTAAGCAAAAAGGGTTACTTTTACAATCGAAACTTCTACGTACAGATATCCCATTTGACAAAGCAAGGTGACGAAAACAAATATAAAGAGAAAAGTTAAGGGAGGTAATGAATGGACAATGCCTTGACATCTGAGCCTATGATAATATAGCATAAATGGATGATGGATGATGAATTTATATCAATATAAATTTAACATGTTTTATATTTAGGGATTTATAACAATAATGTTACTTATAAATAATGTGGGTTTATGTAGACCTAAACTGCAAAGAAATAAGTCAAAATTATGACTATAGAGACCTACTGACTAAAAGGCTTAAATAGGCCTAGACTAGACTTTTCATTTTTTAAATATAAGCTATTCTAATAAAATAATAAATCAGACTAGACTTAAAATAGTTTATATAGATCTTATCTAATTTTAAGTTGAAACTTGACCCAGCCCAAACTATTTACACTCCTAGACATGTTTTGAATTGCAATTTTATATAAGAATTTATAATAATAATAATAATAAGTAAATATTCTATACATGTTACGAATGTTCTTAAATTTAAATAAAATTTTAATAATAATCAAAGGAGAATATTTAAAATATAAAGGCTAAAAAATTTAATATTATCAAAATATTATGTTTAATAAATTTTAAAATAATAAATTTTAAGATTAAAAAATAAGAATGCATGATAAATTTAATTAAGGAATTAAATTATTCTAAAAATTGTGTACTTTAATTTATACATTTTCTCCTATTAGTTATTTTCTATATATATGAAGAGTTTATTGTTTAATAATGATCCCTTGTATAAATAGGATTTAAAGTCTCAAATAAGTAATACAAATAATTATTTGAAACCTTATTATGCTAGACCGCTTAATTCTCTACATTTATTCACTTTATTTTCTTGATTCTTGTCGGTGAGAGATAAAAATATTATTTTTTTTATTTTATAATATTATATATAAGTTTTTGAAAAATTGTTAGGGAAGTGTATCTTTAATATAGAAAAAAAAATAAGAAAAAGAAAAAAATTGTCTAATACATTTTAAATTCTTATTTTGTTATAAAATATTAATAGCTTTAGAGAGAGAGAGAAAACCTTGTTTCATTTTATTTTCATTACAAAATCATGAAAAAAAATAATTAATTTTGGATTTAACAACCCTAATTACTTCTTTTAGACAAATTAAATCTCCTACGTGTCCCAACCTATGTGAGAAAGGGACCCACAAAAAATAAAATTAATCCCAAATCAAGCGATGCAAAAATTATTTAATTCTGCCCCTAAGATTTTCTCTAGGATTCTTATTTTATTTTATTTATCAACACTAAATAGAAGGAGACGTAATATTAAAAAACTTCATCTAAAAATGTGAAGACAAGAAGACTTTTAGAAAGAAAGAAAAAAGTAAAAATATGACTCTATAAATGTAGGGGGGGGAAAACTTGATACATAAGGTGCAAAAATGAGGAATCTGAGTCCAATAAATGCATAAACCCTAGGCCTAACTAATAAATGTGTTTTTTTTTTTTGTGGGGGGGGGGGGGGGGGGGGGGGGGGGTTGGTGGAATAGAGTATAAACATAACCTAGATTGTGTAGCATTACTTGTTACATCTATATAACTTTACATTATAACGAATTAAATAATAGCTTAATACATCTTGTGACCCAACAAAAGAAAGAAAATATTAGGAAAACACAGCAAAATCAAAATGAATTACTGAAGAAGAAAAGACACCAACCCTGTTAACTGTTAGTGAAGTTACATGAGATTTTAATTATGACTGACACAGGAATGTTGACAAAATGACCTTGATTACCAAACAGCCCAATCCTCCCAAAGCTGGCAACAGAGCTGTTGCTGGTTGCATTAAAGATCACAGACAAGACTTGTCTCTCCCCATTGGCAAGAGAAAAGTGAGTTGGAGACACTTTTACTGAAACCCCATATGGAGAACTCCAACCAACACTATAAGTTTCATTTCCAGCAATGTTTTGGATTGTTCTCCGTACTACTCTAGATTGGTTCAACCTTGCTATTGTGATTGAGGGCAAGTTCAGATCAGGGCCATATACAGTAGAATTATAAATCCAACAGTTTTGACCAGTATAATTTAGCACTGCAGGAGCCGAACCATTGATAGTACAAAGAAATGACATGTAATCATCATAACCTGCAAAGAAAAAAGATTAACCATATCTAGAATTGATGGTCCTAGCTCCACCATTGTCAAATGTATCATAGGTACATATCTAACCTAAACCGCAATTATTGCTAATTTTTCTATGAACATTAGAACATTCATTAACATGATAAACATAACGATTCAAAAAATAATAATTTAAGTGACTTACTTGAATCAAAAACCAATCCCGGATTTAATGCAGCAGTAGCATTCACAAAACCACTTCCCATGTCAAAGGGAGTTGCTGGAGATTGGTTTACATCTAGGGAGGCATATGATCGCTGAGCCATTATTGGCCTCCCATTGTTGTCATATAGAGAAGCTGTGGTGGAAAGTGCAGATCCAATGGCTGCAGGGCTGAAATTGGGAAACTTTTGCTTAATTAGTGCAGCAAGACCAGCAACATGAGGTGCAGCCATGCTTGTGCCAGACATCATAGCAAAATTCTCACCTGATGGAACAGTGCAGATCGCATATTCAAACTTCATTATATGGACATGCATAATAAATTAAAATTCCTATTTCCTTGTAT